GGTGGTATGAGAGAGACTACGAGGTCGATGCAGATGAACAGTATATAGGTCAAGTGGATGTAGAGGGGTGGGAAGGCGCTGCCGTGGATGATAGGAAGCAGCTCAGAGGGCTGCTAGATGATTGTTTGTCGGTGGGGGTGTAGAAACCCTCTCTGACCGCTGGCTATCTCAGACTTTTTATGCGGAGTTTTATGTTTGCATTTCTGTTCGACTTGGTATATATAGTTCCCCCTTGGTTTCCACCTGTTAGTGCTGTATTTTTCATCTCACTTTTTATTTCTTTCTTTTGCTCCCTCATCCTCCTTATTATTTCTTACCATCTTTCCTCTTTTACATATGGCGTTTTATTTTGTTGTTTTCTTTTGGGTTTGGGATATTACTTGTTGGGGTGCTGGGAGGAGTTTTTTTTTTTTTTCATCACTAATTTCCCTTTTCCTTTTCTCATCCTCCCCCTCATTCACATCATCCTTCTCTGGTGGTTGGTATAGTACGGATGGACCGGGTCCGAGTCTTGAAATAGAGTTTTTAGATTCAATAAATCGGAATATTCCTGCGTTTCTAGCTCCTGAAAGGGCCGAGTGATTGGCTGTGACCGAGACTTTCAGCGTGTGAGCTTCGCCGGTGTGCGACCTTGGAGTGGTTAGAGGCAAGGTGTATGGAGTGTAGCTTGGAGAGGGGGCTGGCATAGCTTGGGTAAGTCGATCTAGGGAGGAAGGGATGTGCGTTGTCTGTTGATGAACACGGACTGGGCTGTCCACGAACAAGCTCATACCGTACCCGCAACCTATGCCCAGGCTGTCCATGGATAGCCCAAGTTCATCGGAAAGATAGGTTGGATGAAAGAATGGGATGTAGCTGGTCCTAGCCCATCTAAGTTAGTGATTTACCTTAGATGGGTGATGATGCACGCTGGGCTTGTGTATGCCGCCCCCCACGTCCAAAGATATCGGGGACAACGTCTGTATAGCTAGACTGGGCTCAGGAATCTATCTTGTTCCTCGGCTGTTACCTTTCAGTGAGATATGGCGGATCTACTCATAGAGGGTGAGCGGGAGTACTCCCAACCCTCAAAGATGCTATGGGCTGAAGGCCAGTAAACGTGATTAAATCCAAGCCTAAGCAACCGAGGAAGGACTCGTCGCTCCTTAGCTATAGATAAGATTGGTTCGACGTTATTACAGGCCTCCAACCAATGATGTTTCCAAGGTGGATATGTACTCCCTCTCTTCCTTTATGAGTAGATCCGCCATACCTAATCTGCTTGACATATGGATGTATTGGAAAGCTCCCACACATGTCCTAGACTCCTACCAACTCGGATGGTGCTCTTCTTAGGTGTGTGGAAAACGTTGCGGGCGACCCATTCTACACAAATCCAAGTTTATCCAGGCGGTACCTCTCGATAGTGATACAAAGTCTAGGGACCAAGTCCCGTGCTGTTACAGTCCGTTCACCGAATCCGCCATCCACCGAATCCGCCATCCACGTGGAAGAGATAATACAGCCCAAAGAACAAAATGTGGGCGTGGCATTGAGGAATTCTACCACCATATCTACATGTAATGTGCCTGTACCCACTAGATGTGCTCTACGCAGCTGTATGGTATTAAAGCTACATGTAGTGCTAGTAATTTCTGATCTATCGCGGATGATGTACTAGGCCAACAATTGTCAATACGGGTAGGGTAAATTTGAACCGGATGGGCCGGTAAGGGCCCCGTTCATCTATGTTTGGCTGATTCCAGTCAATGTGCTAGGAAATTTTCCACACGAAAGTGGGAGAAGAACTGCGTCTTATCAGCACTACACACTACATGTACTTCTAGTACTACCTACCCCCATAACCATCATATCACTACCATCACCCTCACTAGAATTTTTTTCCTTTTCCTACTAACTATAATGTGGATAATATTACCTACCACCTGGCGCCAGTTTGACTCCGAGCGCTCAATTTCGTTGGTAATTCTCCCGGGATCATGATACTAGGACACGGTTCCAGACTGTCTTGAATGTAGTCTGCGGTGTGGAAGTGTATTTACAGAACTCTTTCTGCGGGGGTTGGCGGTTCAACCTACCTCCAGACGCCCCGATACTTTCTGGCAGCGCTGCTCCTGGAAAACCTTAGGGGGGGGAAAAGATCAATTTACATTTATATTATGGCATGTATCATTCCAAAGGCGCCGATAGACTAAAGCCCGAACATCATGGCTCAGGCCACTGTTGGGCAGCCTGGGTCCAGCCAGAGATATCTTTCCCTGGCTGTTGGCTGGGTTTAATCTAAAAAAAAATGGGATGAAGGAGCATTTTGACAAGCAACTAAGGATATTTTAGGTTTTAGACTTGTGTTTTTGAGTCTTTAGTAGTAAGACCCAGAGGCCAAAGCTATATGGTTTTAGATGGGCGTGAATGAGCCCATGTTTGTTGGACCAAGTCCTGCAACCTTGATGGGTTGAACATATTTCGGCTTGGACAGCCCATCGACGCTCTTATCACGATCCAAGTATACCCGGAAATCCCAGAGGGCTTGCACGTTCTATAGAAATTATCACAGCAAAGACACTAGGGGCCGTGACGAACCTGGGAGCTCCAAATCGAGTTACTGACAGGTAGTTTCAAACTGGTTAAAAATTGGCTTGAGGGAAGCTGGGTGTCATGGTCATGAACTAGTTAGTAGTGGAAAATGAGTTTTGGAGTGATTTTGCAGATGAAATTGGGATAACCCTCAGGGTTAGTTCATGACAATTGACAGCTAAAAACTGCTCTTTATGACAGGCTGAGCTCGTGACGCTGTTTCTGACTCGAGCTCTGAGTTCGTCACGGATCCCTAAAAGACACAGCGCAATTTGAAGCTATTACATAGTCGCGGAAAATATTTAGCTTGTAATGCCTAAAGTATAACAGATTATATAAACACATATAAACTATGATAACTAACACTAAGAAAACAAAAGTCTATGACACGAAGCCTACTTGGTGCGGGTTGACCTAAATATTTGTATACACTTGTCAAAAAACGCTCTCTCCGTCACAAAGCAAACAGCAGCTAGGCACACGCCTAAAGCACCACCCATACCAATCTCTTTGATCAGTCCACCCTCACTCGCCACCACGCCCCTGGAAATAGCACCAACGCCGACCGAAGCGGCTACTAACGCCCCACTTGGCAGAACTCTAGTGAGACTCCACTTTTCACCCCCCTTCTCGCCCTCATTTCTGAAAAAATATCCACCAATGAACACTAGACTCCATGTAATCCTTAGGGACATATTTGCTGCATTTGCCGCAACAAGCCCTTTAGCCCCCCACCCCAGGACAGATAAAAACAGCCATCCGATACCAGCGAACATGAACGAGAAACCAAACATCCATCCGCTCTGTTTTGCTAATTCTCTCTCAGTTGCAACAGACTGCACGAAAGCTTCAGTAACGCCGTTTATAGCTAATAAGGGGATGTAGTAACAGTAGCTCGCTAGGACCCCACTTGCGTCGCCGTCTGACCATCGAGAGCCAGCAATGAGCCTGAGTGCGAGAGGCGCAAAAGGAGGGCCAAGAGAAAAGAAGAATAATGAGAGCAGAGAGTACAGCTTCATGATAATAGCTAGGATGTTGGCTCCAGAGGTTACGCTCTCCGCTGAAGGCTTCCCATCAGAGGAAGATGTAGAAAGAAGCTTCGCAAAGAGGTTACGAGAGGCCTCCTCTATCGGCTGGAAGAGCAAGCGGGCGATGAGGGATCCATAGTTGGAAGCCAGGGCGTAGGTACCCTGTGAGTGTGCTGAAGAAAGGGCGGAGAGGAGGACAGTATCAAAGTGGGTTAAGATGTGTTTCAACGCAGACTGGAGCCACATCGATGTTGCAAGGCGAGAAAGGGGCGCGTGGAAGAGGGATAAATGGTAATTGACATTGGAGCTAACAAATTTTAGAACAAATTACACCGAGTGATAAATCATGAGGATGGCTCTGACTACTCACGAGGACTCAATCCCTTTCAACCCCATACTAAAGCCTTCGGTAGCAGAGAGCTGGAACACACGATGCCAGTAGATGCCCAATAGAACGACTGCGTATCCAAGCTGTCCCAATGCAAAGGGTAGAGGACCAAGCCCACCTTCAACCTTTGCAACCCGGGCTGCGTAGACGGTTAGTCCACAGGTCAACAAACATCTGGTAAAAGCAGCTAAAGACTCGGCTCCAGCGCGGAGTTTATATAGTAACTTTTGCTGTGCAAGCGCAAAGCATGGCTCCGAAAGGAGCTCTACCAATGTCGCTAAAACGTATATAGCGATCGACTCGCTAAAGTACGGCTGCTGTGCCGTCTCCGTTGAAGCAGAGCTCCGCGAGTAGAATAGGCCTAACACCCCCGCAAAAATAATTCCCATTGGTATAGTAAGCAAAGAAAGGTTGACCAGCGTCTGTGATTGCGCAGCTGGTGATCCCTCTTCTAGTAAGCCACCAATCTTTGCATCTTTCCCACTCTTCTTCCCTGACGTAGTCTCAGCTCCATGTCGTTGCAGCGCAGTTCGTAAAGACTCTCGAGAAAAGTACAAAACACTGATCATGAGTAGCTCGAGCTGCACATTAATCCCTAGAAGCTCTGGAGAAAGGAAACGGAGCAGAACCTGGTTGACGACGAAGGTCAAAAGGCGAGAGGAGAGCTGTAAAAGTATCAAGAATTTTGCACCCTCTGCAGATGCGGAGAGGAGGGACCGGCGACTGGCTTCCGCCTGGGGCTTTGGGAGTGCTGAATCTTCTGCGGCCATGTTAAGGTCGATATGGGCCTGCTTGTTGGATAAAGTGCCCTGAGGTAACGTGTTGTGGATCTGAGGTGTTGAGGCTCAAAACTAGACCCTTGAGTAATAGTGGCTTGGCGTGAGGATCCGACGTCATGGCTACCATTCACTCATTGTTTAGGGCAGGAGCTTGGGAGATGTCAGCACACGAAATCTAGGTTCGGTTGATTTCAACCCAACCAGATTGTATCAGCTGCGTGAAGCAACCATGTCTTCATGGCTTAGTTGGTTAAAGCGTCGGTCTCATACTAAGAATATGACCAATTCATCAGAGTTGGACATCCGAAGGTCGCGAGTTCGACTCTCGCTGAGGACAATGCAAAAATCTTTTCAACTCCCAGAACTTGCACGAATTTTTTCTCAAACAGCGACCTCTGTTCCTTTCCACCCTTGCCCTCAATTTCATACATACATGTACCTATTAATAAGCCTTGACGTAGAGACAAGCCCAGTCGCTGATTACTGCTGAGCTTCACCTAGGACATCATAGAGTTATATCGGAGTTATAGTATCAGATACATACACGCTATAACATAATTGCAGCTACACGTTATCACCGCCCAGCTCGTCCAGTTGACCATTCCCCCTGCACGAATGGATCTTTCTTCCACCTTAACCATCTAATACAAACCAAATGAAACTGATACCAACAATGACCAGAAAAAGACGCAATGAACAGTCAATCCAACCAATTAAACCAAATACGAGATAGACAACAATAAATATAAGAAATGAAATATTCCACATCCTCTACCTTTACCAGCACACTGAAACCCGACCAAAAACCCCAAATCGAAGGAAAAAATATTCGCCAAGCCTTTTATGTTCTCACTCCCGTCGAAAAAAGTATATCGAAAAAAAGTTAGGAAAAATAAAGAAAAAACCATCACAATAGTTAGAGGATTATAAAGTGCCACCAAAGCCAAGCAAGAGGTCTCTGGCAATCTCAAAACTCAAGAAGCTACTGCCAATGCTGGGTGCAACCTTCAATAGATTAGGCAACAGCCCCTTATATAATCCTTTGGGACCTTCGGCTTTGACAATAATTGTAATGGCATCCCACAGCCCCTTGTACTGATATCCAATACCGGTCATTGTGTTAACCTGGAATCGCCGTCGGAGTACACTGCAAGCTTATTAGGATGTCGTTGCGAAAGTATGCAAAAATCAGGGTTTGCTTACTCAAAAGGATATGTGACGCTCTGTGCAACAGCTCCCGAAATGGCCCCGGCAGCCAATTTCCCTAAAGCAGAGGGATTCTGCTCACCTTCAGGGGTCATGAACTTCCGCATAGCTTCATAAGTCGCAAAATTAATCCCGACATAGGGGGCAACTCCAGCAAGTGTTGGCCCAAGGCCTCTGTAGAGCGAAATCATGCCACCCTCCGCGCGGTACATTAACTTCATCGTTGCAAACATTCCGGGCAGCTTTGTGTCAGGTCTCCCTAGGCTTGCAAACGAAGCAGACTGAATTGAGAGACGTGTCCGCACGATGTCTAGTGGATATGTGGCGACTGATTACGTAGAATTTAGAAATAGACAAAGAGTGGAGGTTATTGGGTGAAACGTACCGACGGAGGTGACGCCAGCCATTGCACCAGCAGTGAGTCGACGAACAGTCCCAAGATCGTTTGAACCCTCCGGAAGTAGTAACTGCGAATAAGAAATTAGAAGCAAATTTCAATATCAGATGGTATTTCATCTACATCATACCTTTTTATAAATACCATAGCTGGAAAACTGCACGGCAGAGTAGGGTACAATTCGAATGCAATTGGTTCCATTACCTCTGTCTTAAATTTAGCATAGACCTCTACAAAGTGAAGCTCTTTATTTCCCATCCCAGCTCAAGCTCTAGAACTCCAGTCTCCGAAATAACAGATTCCAGGTTATTGAGGGATAGGATTCGACCCACCTCATGAATCCCCTCCACCCTTCTTCTCTCCACATTTTCATCAACGCCGGACCCACACCCTGATATGATTGATTTCCGGGTCCTTGTACTTGAAATAGGATCTTCAACCTCTCCAAAGGACTGACAACAGTCCTACTGACAGCACCAGCAACTCCTCCAGCAATGAATGATGCTGTGACTGGCTGGCCAACATATGATCGCAGTGCTACCCATGTCTCTGTCGCTGGTGGAATGAGACCGGGAGTGGTCATTGAAGAGGAACCGGAATTGACAACAGGAGACTATAAAGAGACGAAAGGAAGAATTGAGGATCAATCTTTGGAACTTAAAGTGCGGGCATAAATGAGGGAAATAAAAGAACTTACTTCCGACGTTGGGACAGCAGGAAGCTTTGACAAGCCGGAGGAGGAGGGGCTAGCATCTTTGGGGGCCGACATGGTGAGGGAATTGCCAGGATTCTATCGCGATAGAGATGATATACGAGATAATGAAGACTCCAGTTTCCTAGATGTGGGGGAATTGGCAGTAGAATCAGGTGTTGATGGGGGAGGGGGATTTGGGAGGAAAAAGGAAAGTGGAAAGAGCCGCGTTTGAGTTAGGGTCCATTCAATAATACCGATTCTGTTAGCAAGGGCACGGCAGTATGGTTAACGAAGCAGCGCGCAGAAGGTGTCGTGCGTGGTGCAGCAGTGTTCCCGGGAAATCCCTAAATAATTCGGCTTCGGCTTTCACTTTTTTCGCAGTGCAGGAGCAGCAGAAAAAGAGGGAGGAGCGTTTACAACAAGAGAAAGTCCCTGAAAAGGTAGACCAAAACAGGAAAGCCTGAGACAGAGACAGGTAGAAAGAGAGACAGTGAAAAAACGGATTCGGATTGGACAATTCAAGGGAATGGGAGGATCTAAACAAGGATTGTGTGGCTAGACAATTTTCTGTGGCTGGTTCTGTGGCGCCTCGACAACTGGTATTTCCCTGCTAGTTACGTAAAGTTTCGGGCTTAACTGGGCTTCTCGGCTTATCAAGATTTGTTTGGGTGTGTGCGTGGATAGAGGCCGTCATTCCGGTCGCCACCTCCACTTCCCCATCTTGTCGTGCATAAAAGTTGCATCTTCCTCCTCAAACTCCCTTCCGGACAAACATCCACGATTCAAACTAAACCCAAATTAATCAATAACTCCAATCATTCGATCATGAAGAGATTTGCACCCATTACTCTCTCAGCCCGTATCATCTCGGGCTCTACCTTAAGGACAACGGCTCCATTGGCCCGTAATGCGGCGAGAGTTTCTGCTCCGGTGGTCTCGAGAAGAAATTATCATGAAAAAGATATGTTGTTTCTAGCATTCCATGACACCGTATGGGGTTTTGCACATTTTTTGATATATATATGTATGGAAAAAGCGCTGACATTGGATTTCTCTTCACTGCTCGATCACTACAACAACCCCCGAAATGTCGGCTCAATGAACAAGAAAGACCTCGACGTTGGTACCGGCCTTGTTGGTGCACCAGCTTGTAAGCTATCGCCCTTATTCCTCCGTGTTCTTTATTGTTTCTGCACGATTTTTTCAAATCCGTGCACATTTTGTCGGCCGATTTATCCCCACAACATTTACTCACCTTGGTCTGGCATGATTATTAATACTCTTCTAGGTGGTGATGTGATGAAGCTTCAAATTCGTGTCGACTCTGCGACAAACACGATATCTGATGTAAAATTTAAGACTTTCGGTTGCGGCTCCGCCATTGCTTCCAGCAGTTACCTTACCGAGCTCGTCCGTGGCATGACTCTTGAAGATGCTGGACGTATCAAGAATACCGAGATTGCAAAAGAGCTTTGCTTGCCTCCAGTCAAACGTAAGCTTAACTACCATGCCGCTGAGAAATTCGTGTGTGGCGGAGATACTGACAAAATGGTCAATGATAGTACACTGCTCCATGCTCGCTGAAGATGCAATCAAATCTGCAATTAAAGATTATCAGAGCAAGTCGAAAAGGCCGGCACCTACACTCGGACCAGATGTGATGAGATCTTTGGGCAATGAGACTTCTGCGCCGACGGCTGCATAGTTCCTTCATTGAACAAAATCTCTCTATTTGTGTCTGCGTAGTTCGGTTCTTCCTTCTTGAATATAGTTTTGTTTTCGTTTGAGGCCCGGCGTTTTTCTTTTTTCTTTCATCACTTTTGACTCAAATTCCAACTGTCATTACCACTTGCAATTGATAAATGGTCATCCTTTTATCTTTCTTTTTGCAAAAATATATGGGTGTGGGTGCGGAATAAGGAGAAGGTAGTGTTTAAAAGGGTTGAGAAAATGGCGGACTAGGTTTTAGTGCGTCGTTTATTTAAAGTAACCATACCCATTTAATTCCGAATTTCATGAGGTGAACCTTGACTGCAGATCTCCTGTCATAATCATACGACGAAACAAAAGTATGCTTAAATTTATCGCGTGATGCAAAAACCGTACGATCGCTGGTTCAAATCGAACTAGCGAACTGTGCTTCTACCGGTCTAAAGTAAGGAATTATCTGATGGATCGAGTTACGATAACTTTGAGTGGACGTCGTGTGCTCCATCAGATTACAGCTCGCGTGGTATCTGATGTAGAGATACCAACCGTTTCCTTGTTATCAGATTTTTTGATCTTCATGTATGACCCATGCTGCGGTCTATTTTAGGCTCAGCCCAGCTCCCTAGAGAATGATTTATGATAACATTGATGCCTAGTTCCTCTGATGTCTCTAGTTCCTTTTGAAGAAGTAGACATATGCAAACCTTTTCATCTCTTCAACGTCTACAGCCCTCACCACCTTCTCATCATTGAATAAGACCCACGCTTCTCCCTCGCCTTCTAGCTCCTTTCTCACAAATGCTACATAATGCCCTGCGTGAATACTACCCCCTTTATGGCAGACGATGCTATGCAGTTGAAATTCGGCTGGGGTTTCAGCCCTTCCAGGCTCCTCTTTCTCTTTGGGCTCAAGGCTTGTTCCCGCCATAACTTGATCAACGTCATCACCCAAATCATCGGGGTGAGAAAATACCCATTCAACAGCCCTTTCCATGTTTCCGTCAGTCTCTTTGAGTGCTTTCCTCGCCTGATTTGCACTGAATCCCATTGCTCCCAGCATTTCAATTTGTTCCACGCTGGGCTCGGCCCCACCTTTTGGCTGGTCTATGACTAGAGGTTCATCTATGTCCGGATCTTCCATATGTTGAAAAAGCCAGTTCATGGCTGATTCTGAGTCAGTATTTCCCGTTTTGTAAAGCGCCTTCTCACATCGTGCACGAGGAAATCCCATGGCCTCGAGATCAGCCATAGCAGCTTCGTTGGCCGCGAATCCAGGAGCTGAGGGTTCCGCATCTTCGGGAAGAATCTCTTCATTGGGGGCCGGGCCTTT